CTATTCCCCCTTGTACGCCGCCTATGGTAGCAAAATTAAATCAAAAAGCCACGTATAATCTAGCTTTATAAATATAAAATATTATGATATATTAATCTATCGAATATTAACCTAGGTATAATAAAATACTATAACGTTTAAGTGTATAAAATTTAAATCGATATAACTATATAATAATTGTGTAGCAAATTTGTACTGTCCTTTAAATTTAAGTAAATGTTAATGCATTTTTTTAAACTACAATAGAAAATTGAAAACGATTGTTCTATTAATATTGAAATTGTTATTTGCATCTTTTACTGTAATGTCGTCTTCTTACATACAAATTATGTGCAACTTTTTGTACCTTTATGTTATAAATAAATATCTTTTAATAGAATGTTTACAACAAACTTGGAAAACATAGTTTAAATTAACTTACATTACTGATGGCTTCTTGACTTATTGTAATCCTGTTTGATGTCCAGAAGCACTGTGGATATCTTTTAATAGAATGTTTACAACAAACTTGGAAAACATAGTTTAAATTAACTTACATTACTGATGGCTTCTTGACTTATTGTAATCCTGTTTGATGTCCAGAAGCACTGTGGATATGTTCCTCTCACAAAAATAGTTTTTGGAAAGCACTATTAAGTAATTAAAAACAAAAATTGTAATATTTTCAAAATGAATCTTCTGAATCAGAAAGTAACCATAGAGATACTAGAATATAGGTAACACAGAATAATGTAATCCTGAAAATCTTGTTTCTATTTTTTGATAAATTTCTGTCTTATGAAATGAACTGAAAGTACCTAAATGTATAAAGCAGTCATGGGTGAACACAAATTAAAATTAGTGAATCTTTAATAAAGAAATTAGAACCGATTAGAATTGTTACTGCACTGAGAATACTTTGCAGTACGGTGGGTTGCCTGTATGATGGACTAGCAAATCACCACAGATACGAGCACTTTACGCTATGGTGTGAAATCAAAGTAAACATATGCATTAATTTATAGTACTATTTGACCAACTATAATTAAACAAGAGCACGAGCAAGTAAAACGCAATAGAACGATTTTAATTGTGGTTTACTTTGTTCACTTTTCCTCACTAAAGAAACAATATTTACATGAATTTTTAAGTAATCAATACCAAAGCAGCTGTCGTATTTTGAACTGTCTGCACCAATAAAGTCGCGACAACATTCTGTAAACTATTTATAAAGTTACTGTAAAATGAAACATATATATTATTTCCTGTAATTATGAATTTCTTATACCTGTGGCACACTGTACTCTATAAAATTGTAATAATATATTTTTTAAATTTTGATTGAATTTATAATGCAGCAGTGACGTATGTCTGAGAGACTAATGCATCAGATTTATCTGAAAAACAAGCAATTGTTCTGTCTATGGTTCTAACCCTATAATACTTTGTCTATGGGTCTGTCAGGGAAAATTCGTGCATGTGTGTACGTTTTTCGTTTGTATGCGGTGCAATGTAATTTATAATTTATTAATAACACATTTTAATATTTAAACAACAATGTAAGTGCTGTGAGTTCATGTTAACTAAACATCTGAACAGCTAATCGTAATCCAGAAAATCAATTAGTAAGTTTCATGTAATTTTATCTGTAATTCTTATCTAATACTTGCTTATCATCTTTATCAAAGCCCAAGTATTTATTATTATTTATAATCTTATACATTATTTGGTGTGAATTGATTGATTGATTTGATTAACAGATAAATAACTTTTCTCTGATAATTATTCTGTAATCACAAATATCAGTGCTTATCTACAAGTACCTCCTTTTGTGTTGCCTCAATTTACTTAAATAAGTTTTCGGCATAAATATTTATAATATAAATATCCTTTTACAGTCGTTTCATAGCCATAATCTAGAGAATGGAAATGTATAATATTAAAGTGAAAGGCATTAACATTACTCTGTTACAATGTTGAAACAATTACTAAACAATATTGCCCAATTTAGTTTTTAAAATTATATCACTTAATTATAAATAATATGACTTAGGGGCGGAGTTTAATAATGAATGCATCAGTATCATGTAACAATGATATCTCCTAATTCATTAATTATTTAGTTAATTGGGTATGACTTTATGATGTCAATAATTACCATAAAATTGGAGCACATCTGCAAAACACGACTATGTTAAATCTCTATCTTTATGGTCTAATTAACCCTAATAACTCGAGTTTTACACACCTAAATTTGTATAGAATTAACCGATAAATGTATTACTATTTACATTTTGCGTCGCCTTTAATTTGTACAGTTGTGAACGAAAAAAATAGGAGACATTAAATATTTAATAGGTATATTCCCTATATCTATTTGGGTCAAATTGGTCGTTCAATCAAAAAACGTTTAACTGAACATCAAAATTTCTGATAGGTACAAATAACTTTACATTGCTGCACATTCAAAATAAAAGTACAAGACTGGATCTGTTAAATATTCTTGCAATTAAGTACGAGTACAATTAACAAAAATGCAACTCTATTGAACGACCAAACACACTTTGGGATTTCCCCTTATTAAAAGCAGTCTCTTGATAATTACGTAATAGTAATTTTTTTTCTAAAATGAAAGTGAAACAATATTGAGTGTTTTTTATTAATCAATTTTTATTAACTAATTATCAAAAAATACAATTAT